CTAGTATATTCTTTCAAGTCTCCAATGGTGCATTCATTGTAACTGTAACTGAATCCATCCACCTTGCTGTCCGTCATTCTATTTTTCTCTTTCCTCCCACTCTTTATATAAAGACAGAATTTGAAGGAATTTGGTTTTTAAATCATCGAACTGCTTTCTTTTAAGTTTGGCATATACTTCAATCCATAATGGCAATATTGTTTTTCTGTAAGTTAGGGGCAATTCAATAAATAAATTCACATGGGACATGATTTGCAACTGGGCTGGCGTGCATTTCTATGATACGGAAGAAGTAAAATACATGGGTATTTTCAAAGACATATGGTCAGGAATGCATTGTTATTAGCATAGGAAAAAAGTAGATAACAACATTACATGAAGATTCCAGTCTGGCTATCAACAATGGAAGCACTTATGCACCCAAATGTTTGTAAAATGAGAGCTATTGCTGAATATAAAGATATCTTAAATGAAAAGGGTGAGTTCAAAACTAAACAAGAATTGAATGAACAAGGGTTGGAAATACATTGGTATTCATATATGCAAATACAATCAAGATATGAAAAAGGTATTAAAACTGAAAGGATTCATAAGGAGTTGACAGAATTGGATAAAATATTAATAGGAACAGAAGATAAGTTGATTAAAAGATTACAGTGCTGTTTACTAGGTGTTAAACTAGAAGAAGAATAAGTTAAAGAAACAACGATAGTATAGGCAAAAAAAAATGGATATGCCATAGAATTAGACAAATGGCAGAAGCTATGGGATAGGAATTATAAATTAACAATATCGACAGCATACAAAGAAAACTTGTGCAAGATGTTTTATAGATGGCACTTTGCACCAGCAAAATTAGCTAAGATGTTCAAAGATAAATCAGCTAAATGCTGGAAGTACCACCAGACACCTGGAACATATTATGTAGTGGTCTTGTATAGAAGCTAAAAGATACTAGACAAAAATACATACACCTAGATTAGATTTGAAACCTGAAATATTTTTATTAGGAATGGTACAGTAAAGGTTACAGTAAAGAAAAAAACATATTTAATTATACATGTATTAACAGCAGCCAGAATTGTATTTGTTCAGAATTGGAAAAGTGATAAGATAGCGACAGAGGGAAAAGTAATTGAGAAAATATTTGAATGTGCAGAAATAAATAGGTTAACATTGGTAATCAAAGAAAAAGAAGAAATGGAATCTTATACAGTATGCGATTTATTTTATCAATTTATTTATTATTTTTTATTTGATTATGGTTGGAAAATAAAACAAATTAAAATGGACCAGATGAATATATACAGCAATAAGATAAGTGTTAAAAAATAATAGCTATATTAAATAATAATTACAAGAAAATGTGATTATTATTATATTGGTAAGAAAAGTATTTATTATAATTCTAAGCACAAGATACATGTACCAAGTCAACACACGGTTACAGTGAAATAGAATTATTGTAAAATATAAAATAAAACAATTAATAAAATAAATAAATTCACAAAGCAAAACCCATGACATTGCCTATAAAGTTTTACCTACTTTGCAAAACGACACTCCATCCTGGTAAAAATTAAACAAAACAAAAGTGCCTAGTAAGTATTATTAAGTAATATGCTAGACAAAGGGGTGAGACTGAAGCTTCAATGTTTTTTTCCCCAGTAATTGGAAGTGCAGACCCTGGGATAGAGTAGGAAGAGAAGTGGAAAGTAGAGAAAATAAGATGCCGGAGGGAAAAAAGAAAAGATGTCCTTCCCGTAACATTCAATCTGGTCTTGTCCATCATTTCCTTCCGATCCACTTCTCAGTAGTATGTGATGCAACCCCCAGAATGAAATTCTAAACATGGAGACCTTGTTTTATGTATAGGTTTATATGTTGAATTTACAAGGAGAATGGCATTTTGAATCAGATAAGTGTCCTAAACCCGTTCTTTGCTTAGGGCTGCCTTCTTATTTTTCCCTGAAACTATTTGAGAAATCCATCCACTTGAGGTTAATATATGTTGCTACTGAGGTTGTTGTTAATGCTTTCAGTGCTCGGAATAAAATCTGCAAAAACAAGGGTATTCATGACAAGAGAATACCTGGGCAGAGGAGGTAATGTAACAAGACTTCACAAATACCTCATGAGCCACCTTTGACATGAATGAAGTTACATTTCACAGGATAATAGCAGTGAGGACAATTGACCAATGGAATAGCTTACCTTCAGAAATCGTGGGCGCTCCATCACTGGAGGTTTTGGAGAAGAGACCCGACAACCACCTAACTAAAATACTATAGGTTCTCCCAGTTGTGGAATTCAATTCTTTTAATTGCCAGTTCTGTGGGCATGGCTTGGTGGGCGTGGCTTGGTGGGCATGGCAAGGGAAGGTTACTGTAAAATTTTCATTCCCACCCCACTCCAGGGGAAGGTTACTGCAATATCTCCATTCCCTCCCCACTCCACACAGGTTTGTTTTTCAGCTCCGGCAACAAAAGACGACCCATCCGTCAGCTGGGACTCAGGAGGCAGAGAATAGATGGGGGTGGGGCCAGTCAGAAGTGGGATTGGCCGGTTCTCCGAACTACTCAAAATTTCCTCTACTGGTTCTCCGGAACTGGTCAGAACCTGCTGAATAACACCTCTGCATTCTCCTGCTTGGGCAGGGAACTGGACTAGAAGACCTCCAAGAATTTTTCCAGCTCTATTTTATTATAATTTTCTATTTTGATCTGCAGCCAAATTAACCTGAAACCAACATAAAATGGATACAATGATCCTTCTTCCTGATAATACTATTCCTTTGAGATGTAGTATGTGATGCAACCCCCAGAATGAAATTCTGAACATTCAGCCCTTGTTTTATGTTTATATGTTGAATTTACAAGGAGAACGGAATATTGAGAGCCTTGGTGGCACAGTGGTTAGAGTGCAGTTCTGCAAACTACTTCTGCTGACAGTCAGTTGCCTGCAATTTGGTGGATCAAATCCCACCAGGCTCAAGGTTGACTCAACCTTCCCTCCTTCTGAGGTGGGTAAAATGAGGATCCAGATTGTTGGGGGCAACTCTGTAAACCAGCTTAGAGAGGGCTGTAAAGCACTATAAAGTGGTATAAAGTCTAAGTGCTATGGCTATGTAACTGTTTAAATAGTTTTCTCTTTGTTCTTAGAAATGAAGCATGCTGTCAGCTGTTATATATTTTTATTTTTTATTTATTTATTTGTCAAGCAAGTATAAACATGGTTATTAATACATGAAATGGATACAAATAAAAAAAAGAAACAATAGGACAGGGACAGTAGGCACGTTGGTACGCTTCTGCATGCCCCCTACAGACCTCTTAGGAAAGGGGTGAGGTCAATAGTAGACAGTCTAAGGTTAAGGTTTTGGGGGTTTGGGGAAGAAACTACAGAGTCAGGTAGTGTATTCCAGACATTGACCACTCTGTTGTTGAAGTCGTATTTCCTGCAATCAAGTTTGGTTCGGTTTACCTTGAGTTTGTATCTATTGTGTGCTCTTGTATTGTTGTGGTTGAAGCTGAAGTATTCATTGACAGGTAGGACATTGCAGTAGATATTTATATGCTATACTTAGATCAGATCGAAGGCGGCATAGTTCTAGGTTGTCTAGGTCTAAAATTTCAAGTCTGGTGGCATAAGATATTCTGCTACGAGTAGAGGAGTGGAGAACTCTTCTCGTGAAATATTTCTAGACTTTAAAATCACTCATTTTAAGCTGCATGTACAATTACATTTTCCAGAGCAAACAGAAATGTTTTCCTTTCCACAGAGACTGGAATGCTGCTTAGTAAGATTCCTGTTAGAGTCTATTGATTTTTTAATTGTATAAATGTTAAGGTGCCAGCAGAATGATCTGTATTTCTGACAATCAGAAGAACTCAAGTGATTGATTGATTGAAGTGGATAAGTAAAAATGATTGTCTGAAAAGAGGAGACAACTTCATCTATTTCATCATCCATAAATTGCAGAACAGAATGGAAAATCTCCATTGGAATCTTTAACTCTTTTCAATTAGTGTGAAATAATTGAATATAAATAATTAATGAATGTTAATATGAATGGGTATAGTGGTCAAGACACCTATTTAAGAAATGGAGAGATTAGGACAGAGATGGTATTCAACAGGTTCTGAACAGTTCTGGAGAACCGGTCGCGGAAATTTTGAGTAGTTCAGAGAACCGGCAAATACCACCTCTGACTGGAGATTTTACAGTATCCTTCCCTTGCCATGCCCATCAAGCTAAGCCCACAGAACCAGTAGTAAAAAAAAATTGAATCCCACCACTGCACCAGGAGTTCTAATTTTTCCTTAGGCATGAAACCAGCTGAGGGTCCTTGGACCAGTCCCCTCTCTGTTAACCCTGGAAAAAGAAAGCAATGGCAAACAACTTCAAAAATCTTGCTAAGAAAATTGCAGGGCCATATTAAGGAAATTGTGAGAAGTTAACACTAACTTAAAAATGCTATTTAAAAAAAAATCCCATTTATACTCAATGCACGTATACAGCTCCCATTGTTCTACCACATAGAAACAAATGTAGGGTTTTTTTTAGGTCAATATCAATAAATGTTCCCACATTTTAAACAGGCCCAATAGATTGAACATCAATAGAAATAGTCAATAAAAATGCAGAATTCAAGCACACTCAACAAGAAGATATTTGTTTTCTTTTTAAAAAAATAACCTGCCTTATTATTTTTATTAATAACTGAAAGAGGCAAACATACCTAATACATGAGCCATGTTGGCTCAGTGGTTAGAAGTTTGAATTTCACCAATTCAAGGTTCAGTTAGCCATTCTTCCACGGTTGGTGAAATGAGGACCCAGATTGTTGGGGGCAATATGTTAACTCTGTAAAACTTTTCAAATGGGCTCTAAAGCACTGTGAAGCAATATATAAGTCTAAATGCTGTTACCGTAGAGGTGGGCAACTATGGCCCCTTTATGACTTGTGGACTTCAACTCCCAAAATTCCTGAGCTAGCTATTTTGCCCACAATAACTCTGTGAGCTGAGCTGAGCTGAGAGAGAGTGACTGGCCCAAAGTCACCCAGATGGCTTTGATCTCTCAATTTCTAACTTGGTGCCTTAATCACTTAACCACAATTTTCAATTTGTGTACAAGTGTATTGTGAATGAACCTTTTATGTCTTCCTTGAATAATAACATCCAAAATAGAAGGAACATTGCCGACATGAGAACAGCAACACTGAAACCTTCGTAAGCCGATGGACAGAAACTTTATTTTGGCCATTTATCAATAAAAATAAACTTTACAGGGATTTGAAGTTGATTTTAAGTTTCACTTGCTACACAGACTTCAGTTTAAATCAACCCCATGCACACTCCTATACAGTAGTTCATTTTCGTTTTGCACATGTATCACTGCATTAGCCAGTCAAATCTACCCTGCTTTATCTTGGAATTTTTTAAAGTTTATGTATAGATTTGTACAAACTTCTAATTTTTTAATCATTTCAAAGTAACTCAACAGAAGCTCAAAATACAAATGACAGGCATTACTATATATTTGGTGGAATTTACTCCTCTTGAGGAAATAAAGAAAAAGAGTACAATGGAATATATTAAGACTCGCCAATAAAAATGGAAAAAGACAAAATATATCAGCAATGTAATATATTTTATTGTTACAGAAGTAAAGCCCATTTATATTAATGTGTTACTGTCTCTGGAGACATAAGTGGGATGATAATAGTTTATCGTTCTTCAAACAGACTTCCAGAGAAGTCAAATTTTTAAAAATTTACATATTTTTCTAACAAATCCCTGTATTTTAAATTGAGAAAATAGTACCATTTGGTGGATGATGAAAATAAAAGGAGCATCCCTATTTTTGAAAGACGTTATGCACAGTGCATTTCTTTGCTCATTAATGTGCTTCAAGATTTTTGTCTATTATGAAAAATAGGAAAAGTATCATGTTCTTCCTGATGTTTAAAAAATATATTTTAGAAAATATAAAAGCACAATCCTATTTCAGCTTAAATATTATGTACTTCCCAAGGACCTTAACCCCTTACTACAGTATCACAAGTGACCAAGTCACCATGACCCATCAATGGTAGGCATTTAATCAACAATTGATCTTTGACTCCTAGATTGCACTGTCAAGATGGCCACATTTTGAACTATTTGGGGAAGCTTTGTGGGGTTAAAGACTAGCCTGTCTCATAGATGATTCCAACTCCCATTTCCTGGTAATCTCAAAAAAAATGAGAAGTACATAACTCAGCACAGGCTCAATGGGTTTAAATACATTTAATTGTATACTACAGTCTACCTCTAACCTATAATAAATGCATTTTTTATTTTACTATAAATTATTAATCTGAAATATAGCAATAGGTCTCATAAACTTGCAAAATGAAAAATGATTCAGGGCTGTAGATAGTTGCTTTGCAGGGAAAACATAGAATGACATCCTAACCACGTTCATTTAGTATAATAACGGTACTATGCATTAATTGGAAAGTCAACCCTAAGCAGACAGTAGCACTGTACCCATTGCTTTTTAGTCTTTGTATCGAGTTGTGTTACAGTATGTCATTATTGTATTATAAACAGGGAATTGAGAATTTATATCAATATTCATATTTAGTTTGGTGTGTTCTCTTACATTTTCTTGAATCAGCTTTAAAGATTGAATTCACATGTTAGAAACATAACCTATTCAGAATTTCTGACAAGTATTTCTGGGATGTTGAATACATAATTCTGCTTCTCATGACAGAGCAAGAATTTATTCCTCATGCTTATTGTAATTCTGCAATATTACAGAAAAAGGAAGAAACATTTTATTGTATTTTATATGTATTATAAATGTATACGCCACCCATCTTACTTCAAGGAAACTCTTTGATTGGATACAGAAATGAACAAGTTTAAAATTTCTCCAATAATCATAACTTTTTCTGAAACCAACATAAAATTAAGCAAATAAGCAAGCATACCATATAAGCAAATGTAATTAGTTTGCATAATTTGTGCAATTTGTTCAAATCCCCTGGCCCAGAATTTAATGAAGCAAGTAGGCTAGAAACAGGGCACACATTCTTGTTGATTCATTTTCAAGTATTTCCGTAAAGTTCTGGAAATGTTCACTGCCTGAAACCCAGGACTGCAAGCATCACTCAATGGATGCTTGTTCTAAATCTCTCCTTCCTACCAGAAAACATGGGTGAATATAAACAGAACGTAAAATTGCAGACCCTGATAAAACAGATTTACACGATTTGCAGGACTTCTGAATTTATACTAGGACATACCATCTATCTTCAGAAGTGGCAGAATCTGGCTGATCTTTGAGTACTTGGAAAGGCCAGAGACAGGGCTAGTTAATATTTTGATGGATTTCTTCAGAGAGTATAAGTACTTTATCCAATATCAGATAAAAATCTAAAAGTAACTGCCTAGAACTTCGTGATATTTCTTTTTTTCCCTCAAATGCAGCACTGTCTTTGTGGTACTGATTCCATTACCTAATTGATTCACCCTAACTACTTGACTCAACACGATTTGCTGTTACATCAAAGTAAAATATACTGGTGCAACCAGTTTTTAATTTTACTGTATTTGATATTTGTATATTTTATTTGCTTATACAGAGGAGTTGAAGCCCATTCTCTAGGTTAACTTTGGCTGCTTTCAAAACCATAATATACACAAAACAATTTCTAGCGCCAATGAACAGTCAAAACAGAAGATTACTGCTGAAGCATTTTGGCTCAGCCACAAATAGGAAGCACAAGGAAACTGCACAAAGCTTTCTCATGTCTTGCCAGAACTTGACCTAAAAAAAAAAGAAAAGGAAAAGAATTAGTGTACTTTATCCTGTAGAGCTTCTATCCTAGTTCAAAATGAAGGACTGGAAACTGTAGTTGGCAAATAATTAAGATTAGAACTCTTCCTATTGTGAACAGAAATAGTATTAACACATTATTATGTATTTCCCTTTTTCCTTGAGTGGTAGATGGAAAATCAGATCATGTAAATAAAATAAAATTAATATTTCTTCCTTTATTTGAAGAATGGTGGTGGTAGAATCTTCAGTGACATGCTTGTCCTGGGTGAAGCTGAAACTAGAAACCTAAACCTGAATTTATAAATATCACTAAGCAAACTATTGTAAGTCGTGGACTATCTGTAATGCTGTAACAGATATTTACACTGCTGGTTTTCAAAAATTATGAACCGGGGTACAGAAGAGAAAACTTAAGTCTTCCTTAATTCCGTGGCATCCACAGGAGGGGAAAATGTCAAAATAGAAAAATCCGTTAATCATGACAGTACAATCAAATATCCATGGCTATGAATTTATGAATTACACTAGCACATATAGAAAAGGGCTAGGATTTGAATATTGTACTGCGGTGACTGCTGACTTTCCTATTTTGAGCCCACCTGCCATAGATGCTACTGCCTTTGTCAATTGTAAAAGGTGTGGTAACTGGAAGACAAGATTTTAGCTAGCATTCCCTGCAGGGATAACCACTTCCTCTATGTTTAGTATTTAATTTAGTATTTTTAAATGCACAGGATGTTGTTTTATTATACCTATATCTTGTATTTCCTTCAAAATATCAGGACAATATGCACAGGCAAAAATTGGAGAACCTTCCCCACCAACATTATGACCATGGTAATAACCATTTCTTCTTCATCAGATTTAATAAATAACTTTCAGTTTGTCTTGCCATAATCAAAGACATTTATCAGGCTGATGTCCAAATTCCTAGTCTCCCATCTATTGTGTGCTATAGAAAGTGATCCCTTCAAGTCTTCAGTCTTCAATAGATAGCTCTTTTCTACTGGCAACCACTGAACCACATTATTAAACTATTTGATGATTAATTTTTCCTGGATCCTGATATAGATGTACAAAGATGAAAGAAAGTTTTAGACAGTATACTAAATTAAAATAATTTAAATTAAGGAAGGAAAAGATATAGACAGAATATTCTGCAAATTTCTCTTTTTTAAAACTGCTTTATTAAATTAAAATAATAAAATACAAAATAACAGAAAAGGAAAAAAAATATGAGGCATAAGGATCAAAAAGAGAAAAAAGTTTAGAAACTACAAGAAAAAGTATGACAGGATTTTTCAAACTTTCTTCTATAGAAGTGCAAATATATAATAAAATATTTAAATAACCTCTTACTCTAAGATTAAAAAAACACAAAACATTGTACAAAAAGTATACAAATTAAGTAATCAATGCATAATAAAATAACCTCTTACTCTAAATTTAAACCTAAACCACATACATACACACATAATGAACATAGGCAATATTTCTGTAATCATAACAGATCTAAGCATCAAATTCTAAAATCAAAATTTCATTTTTTTTCTTTCTCAAGCAAGAAGTCCCATGTTTTCTTTTCATTTGCTTATTTATTATACTTAAAAGTAAAACTTCTAGTTTCATCTGTAGTGTCAGCTGGTGCTCCATTCAAAAACCAAGAAAGAAATACTTAGACTCCATTAATTCGAGAAAAGGTATCTTTTACTAGAAACCAAGTGGTAGCAACAAAAGAATTCTGAATCTGAGAAAATGAGTGCATAAATCACAATGTGATGGCAACGTTCCCACCCCCAATAGTTCAATTGGCTCATCCAATTAAAAGTTGTGTATAGCCTCATGTGGGCATTTCCAGGTGGTGATGAGGCCTCTGTCCATTGACCTTGGTATATTTTGATAAAGAGTTGCAGTTGCGCAAAGCATAGGATAGAAGCCTAAGCAAGAAACTTCCCTTCCCAACTTATACGGTTCTGTTTTGTCATTTCTTCAATGAAAGAAGAAAGGGGGGGGGGAGAGACTGATAAAGAAATCCTTCTTTATATATCCTGAATATATTTAATCTTATATCAAATTTGTATAACCTACACATGATACAATGGAGAGATGAAACCCAAATGGCCGGAACCCATCACCTCTGAGAGAGACAGCCAGGAGATGAAGAGACCATAAAAATTCCACAGTGAGATGTGTCCTGGGAAACTCTGGAAAAGATCGTTCCAAAAAGCAGGGTGGCAGGGAATTAACATGTTGGCTCTTTGTTTTACTAAATACACATCAACATAAGGGGAGGGGTTTTAAACTCCCTTATCTATCTCTGCATGCCTGAGAGACTTTAGACGCTGCTTTTAACTCCTACATGAATTGTCTCATCTCAGTAAAGAATTCCTTTTTGATACGTTTTAATACGTTTTCAGAAGTTCATTCTAGTTGATTGAATGGGAACAGTTCTGAAGCCTGACACCCCTGTTACTTATGACAGCCGAAAGATGCAAAGCAAAGGAAGAAAATCTTGAAGGCTGACATATACATCCATTTTTAGTATCTTCCAAATCTAACAACAAATCTGGTCCCAATAATTGTTGGGATTCTTAGATGTCCGCTAAAGATAGTAAAAAGTACCTTTAAACAGCTTACTTTTCCAACACTTATTTAATATTCCCTTATATTTTATTCCCTTATATATTTTCCCATTGATTAAGCATAATATTGCATTTTGTTCATTTAATCATACAGTCTTTAATCCTGATTCATTTTGTTAACACTTTATATATCTGGCAATAAGATGTTCATTATTAGTATATGGATCCATTTCAAAGTCTGTTTTTTGGCCTACAAAAACAAAATTCTTTTTATCCCATTTAAATCACTTTGCAAAATTTCTGTTTTTATTATTAAGTTTTTTATTTTTGAATGTATATAAGTATTAAATACATGGACAGTGTAGTTTCGGGGTATTAATTTTGATACCCAGTAATTATAATAAAATTAACAATTTTAATCACCTACATTAAACTTACATCTTTCTAATAAGATTATATAGAATACAGCTCTCTTTCAACTTTTTATCCTTTCATTGCCTACTAGTTTTAACGTATAACAATATTCATTGTAGTATTTCCCTCTTTCGAATTTCTACTTCTATCTCATATCCGGATAACACCAATCTTATTAATAGATATTCTATTTCTACCCTTCATCTCTTATCCATTGCAGTTATTTTAATTACATTAGTCATACCCACATCATTATAACATTATAAATATTCAATTTAAATTTTTGACATTATAATATTTACTCCACCTTGTATAATAATCCCTCATTGTTTAGTTATTCAATATTTCTTCATCTACAAAACACTATTCTTTTTATTCAATTTAAATCACTCTGCAAAATATCTTATAGGACATCTTTCTTATAGAATGAGTGGTAATAACTTATGCCCTTGGTTGACTATTATCACAGGACTAGAAGGAAATAGCAATAGCACTTAGACTTATATACCGCTTTATAGTGCTTTACAGCCCTCTCTAAGCGGTTTACAGAGTCAGCATATTGCCCCCAACCATCTGGGGCCTCATTTTACCCACCTCAGAAGGATGGAAGGCTGAGTCAACCTTGAGCCTGATGGGATTTGAACTGCCAAACTGTAGGCAGCTGGCTGCAGAAGTAGCTTGCAGTACTGCACTCTAACCACTGTACCACAGAGGCTCTATATGTTCTATAGAAGGCCAAATAACATCCGCTTTTATATATCATTCTCCAATCCATTTTCAAACTGTTCTGTCCCACTAAGTGGAAACAAGAAGTACCAAGTTAAAACATTCCATATATCTGGACTGGAGGAAATGAAAATACACAAAACTCACAGTAGCTGACATTTGCAATAAGAAGCAGGCAGGCAGAAATGTGATAGAGGAACAATTCATGCACTCATACAGATGAATTTATATAGACCACACAGCAGTATTCCATACATTATATTGTGTGGAAATAACATTACTCATAGGACTGTCTTATTCATTAATCAGATTGAAGACATCTCTCAAGACAGCATATTTGATACGTCAAGCAAGAGCAGCAATTAGATTGCTATAGGTTTTGGAATATTGTGCCTCATGTATCAAAGTTAATTTGACTATTTTTAGTTATTAAGCATAGTGATGGTTTGTGTGGATGTATTTCCTGTTCCATCTCAGCAGTCAAGTTTCCTACTGGGTTTTGTGGATGTGTTTCCTCCATAGTGAATTTAATCAGTGATCGATCTCTAATCTTAGATGCCTCCAGATGATACTTCCTTAACACAGCCCAAACACTTGAAAGTGAAAAAAATATTAAATTTCTATCCAGATTTTTTACTTTATCCAATATGGTTAAGAAGACTTAAACTGAGTAACAAAGATCCTTATTGAAGTCATAAAATTTCATTTACAGTGGAATATAGATTTATCTCCAAGTATTAGCCCAACTCTTAGTTTGCACATGTGTAATTGTCTGATGCTCACTGCTTTACTTTCTAGTGTCAGCACAGCCAGAAGACAGCCAGAAGACATTTCAAACTTGATCAACTTCTTCTGGATTTCCTCTCTCCCTCTTTAACTCAGCTGTAAACTCATTCCAAATCAATGAAATGCTTGGATTATCTTGAAACAATTGAATATGACTATTAGAAATAACTATCCGAAATATACCATATGAAATCAAGGGCATATTTATAGTAGAATGCAACCTATTTTTTAAAGTTTTGCCCAACAGGAAGCGGGTTGACCTAGAAGTCATGTGGGCTCAGCTCTGCTCTGATCTCCAATATATGAGTCGGTTGCTGGTTCTACTAGGTAAAAGGGCAATGGTTAAATGAATCTGAAGTATAATGGTTCTCAGGATATTTTTATTTCAGGAAAAAGGTGTGATTTTTCTAAAAAATCCCATTCTTCCCTCCTCTTCCCTTCACATAGTAGCATACCTTTTCACATAAACATGTTCAGGAAAAACACACCGCATTCCCCATTCTAGCCCAAAAGAAGAAAAAGAAGGAAGATGGAGCAGTAAAAGAGTTTGGGTAGCTCCACTGGGAAGGGAAAAGAAAATGGGAAAGTAATTGAAAAATAAACATGTCTGATATAAATGGAATTAGAAAGCAAATATTTTTATTTACTGTTTATTTTACTTAAAGAATTTGTAAGATTGCCTCATCCACAACTTGATGAATTGACAATGAGAGCGAATTTGGTCTAGTTATTAAGACATTAGGCTAAGAAGTTTAAGTCCACGAATTCAAGTCCCATCTTATTCATGAAAGCCAGCTGGGTGATTTTGGACCAGATACATCCTCTTAGCACAACTTACCTCACAGGGTTGGGTTTTTTTGGTGGGGTAAAACAAGAGGAGGAAAGTGTGCTAGATATGTTCACTGCTTTGAATTACTTGTAAAAAAAAATAGAGACAGAATATAAATAAATAAATGTATAATTCTGAGTAGCATACTTGATTAAATAAACAAATTATTTCATTCAGAAAATTCTATTTAGAGTGTATTGGACTTCCAAATAATGTATAGTACTTGAAAGGATGGACATCAGATTTTTTCTTGTTGGAAATACAAAAACATTGAAAGGTCATTGACATATGATGTGTTCATATGATCTTTTAATGTACATAAGTAGATTTATGAAGAAATCCCTCAATGTTAAAGATGTTAATGTGAGGTTAAATTTGTGCATACCAAACTTCTGTCATCTGGCTGTCTATGAAGAATTTTGGTTGTCCTAGGCATGAGATGGCCCAAAGAATTATATTGACAAATTGGAAAAGTAAAAGTTTTGGTCACCACATTATAGAAAAGATGTTGAGACTCTAGAAAAAGTACAGAGAAGAGCAACCAGGATGATTAAGGGATTGGAGGCTAAAACATACAATGAACGGTTGCAGGAACTGGGCTTGGCTAGTCTAGTAAAGAGAAGGATCAGGGGAGACATGATAGCAGTCTTCCAATATTTGAGGGGCTGCCACAGGGAGGAAGGGGTCAAGCTGTTTTCTAAAGCACCTGTAGGCCAGACAAGGAATAATGGATGGAAACTGAACAAGGAGAGATTTAACCTGGAAATAAGGAGAAACTTTCTGACAGTGAGAACAATCAATCAATGGAACAGCTTGCCCTCGGAAGTTGTGGGAGCACCATCACTTGAGACTTTCAAGAAGAGATTGGACTGCTATTTGTCAGAAATGGTGTAGGGTCTCCCAATCGGGCAGAGGGTTGGACTAGATGACCTAGAAGATCCCTTCCAACTCTGATTATCTGAATGAAAATTGTTGAGAAATTAAGGATTGGCTTCTGTAAATCTTTAACCTATCCACTCAAAAAAAGGCAATATTTTCTACTGAGCAAAGGATTTTTATTTTTAGTTTACTTTATTGTCATTGCACCTCGTACAATGAAATCAAACACCATCTTCAGTGCATATCATGACCATGACCATGACAATAAACACAAACATATATCCTTCACCCTTCATACATTGAATCGGAAATCCCCGACACCACACCATCACTGCACTATACAGCGGAATTCAAAAGAGCTACTGCCCTGGGATAGAAGCTGTTTTTCAGCCTATTTGTCCTTGTTTTTATTATTCTGTACCATCTGCCAGATGGTAATAGTTCGAAAAAAGGGTTCCCAGGATGAGATGGATCTTTGAGAATGGTTTGAACTTTCTTTAGGCAGGAGAGTTATAAAGCTCTTCCAAAGAGGGGAGAGGACAACCAATGATCTTCTGGGCAATGACATTAATCCTCTGGAGTGCTTTCCTATCTGCCACTGTGCAATTGGCAAACCATACAGAGGTGCAGTATGTTAAAATTCTCTCTATGGTGCAGCGGTAGAAGGTCACCAGCAGTTTTTCATTCAGTTGTTGTTTTCTGAGAAGTCTCAGGTAGTAAAATCTCTTCTGGGCCCTTTTGACCAGTGCTACAATGTGGGCATTCCAGGTCAGGTCCTCTTTTAGGGTAACACCCAGAAACTTAAAACTGGCCACTTGCTCCACTTGGTCTCCATTGATAAGCAAGGGCTGGATGTCTAATCTGTTCCTTCTATAGTCCACTATAAGCCTCCTTGGTCTTATTGGTGTTGAGGACCAAGTTATTGTCTCCACACCACGAAAGCAACTGGTCCCCCTCAATATCTACTTTTTCGATAATATTTTATGATATTTTACAAGGCACCTGAACCCCAAGACTGGCACTAGGACGTGGCATGCCAACAACTGGGCCACACAACAAGTGAAGCTCCATTCGCTGGATGCAGGAAACATGGAAAATCACACATCCCTCTGATTCACAGAAAAAGTTTTCTCTATGGAATGGCTCCCTGGTGTCCAAAAGGTTGGGGGCCACTGTTTTATAATTATACAGCAATTTCATTAGATTTTTTTTTCTTTTTAATCTGATCTCAATGTAATATTACAGTCATACCTTGGTACTCACCTGCTTTGAAACTCATTGGACTTGATAAACAATGCATTTTGGCAAGAATATTTTGTCCCGGTATTCGTTGTTTGTTTAGTACTTGATGTACAAGTTAGAACTTGTCAGTGTTAGTTGCCCCATGACTTTGCTACCCTTTCCAACCAAAACAAAGGGTCATACATTAGTCATGTAATGACTATTCCCCATCAGTACAGGCAAAGTTTTTAGTTTACTTAATCTAAGTATTTAGTTCCTTAAAACTAATGAAACCAATTAATCATTCAACACATGATTTGCTGTTAGATCAAATCAAAATATGCTGCTGCAATCACTTTTTAATTTTACTGTATTTGATAGTTATATACTTCAATTTGCTTATACAGCGGAGTTGAAGCTCCATTCTCTGTTGGTTAATCTTGGCTGCTTTTGGGACCATAATATGCACAATCTTTGCTTCAATGGAAATGTGTACCAGTCTACGGTTTACAGGAAATTTGTGAGGGAGATTTCTCCTATGTGAAAATAAGAGGACAATCACTATGAATCCTCAAATCTACTGCATTTTACCAAAGACATAAATTCTATAGATATTTAAGGATAATTGCTGAGATATTGGAACCCTCTAAAATGTCATAATTACATTCTTCTATCTGGTGGCATAGAAAACATGTTGTAAAGCATAATGATATTCTACTGTCTGCTATTTCTTTCTTCATAGAGCCAGAATAATAATATAAATATCTCCTTGATGTCACCAGGTATCAAATTGATTTGATTTTATATTTCTCAACTCGCTATGCTTCTACTTTCCTTTTTTGCTTTCTTCTTTTTCTTTCTCTCTTTCTTTCCACTTCTTTTTTGCAGCCCTGAATTAACCCTGGTAGCAAAGCAAATACTGTAGCTAAGAGTTGTTCACATTTTGGGATCAAATTCCAGTTTGATGCTTTAAACCCTGCTTATTTATACTTTCTTTTCTAATCCAAACCTACAAGCAGGTAAACAATTTCTATTGCCAAAGAACTGTCAAAAGAAGACAACTGCTGAAGTATTTTGGCTCAGCCACAAATAAGAAACACAAGGAAACTTTACAAAACTTTCTCATGCCTTGCTTTAACTTGCCCTAAAAAGAAAAATAATTAGTCTACTTTATCCTCTACAGTGTAGAGCTTCTATCCTGAAGGAAGGACTAGAAACTGTAGTTGGCAACTAAATAAGATTAGAACTCTTCCACAGATGGTATTCAGCAAGTTCTGACCAGTTCTGGAAAACCGGTAGCGGAAATTTTGAGTAGTTTGGAGAATTGGCAAATACCACTTCTGACTGGAGATTTTACAGTATCCTTCCCCTGCCACGCCCACAGAACCGGTAGAAAAAACATATGAATCCCACCACTGAATTCTTCCTATTGTGAACAGAAATAGTATTAACAGGTTATTATTTATTTCCCTTTTTCCTGAGTGGTAGATGGAAAATCAGATCATGTAAATAAAATTATATTAATAGTTCTTCCTTTATTGGAAGAATGATGGTGGTTGAGTCTTCAGAGACATGCTTGTCCTGGGTATTCTGAAAAGCTGAAGGCAGAAACCTAAAACCTGAATTTTCAGAGATGGCTATGTTAACTTATTTGATCAGCAAAAAGAATGTTTATGTATGCCTAGATAACCCTTATTGCATTTTTGTATGAAATTGGGGGAAGTATATCGTGGTTTTATTTATGATAGATACATCTTTATGATTAGGAAAAAGATGGATAATAGAAAGGGTGAGCTTTTTTTGTAGAAAAGTAAGATGTAGCTCGCTTGTATTTTCTGCAAAGGCAATCAGAAAGGCTTCTCTTTCTTTTTATTCTTTTTTTTTTTTGTACTTTGGGTTTTCTCCCCCCTTTATTTCTTTTTTTTTTTCATAAAAGTTTTATTTAAGTTTTCACAAAACATACAAATACAAATAAAATATCTTTTTTTGAGAACAGTGTGACCCCGAGTTATCACTTCTCCATACAGACATAAACTCAATACATATTTATCTTATACATTCTAATCCATATCTTATAACTATTTTCACATTTTTTTTCAATAGCTTTTCCCTTTCTTTACTTCCAAATAGCCCTATTTTAAATTATCTCATTCCTTTCTTAATTCAATTACATATCTTTTTCTAATTTTTAAAATCTTTCTAATCAATGTTTTTATACTTTCGTCTGTCCTGTTTACAATTTCATATTATCTTTTCTCATAAAACAAATTTTCCCTTGTAATTACTAGACTGGAGTATAACACCTTTGTATCTTTTTTCAAATCTTGTTTAAAAATTTAAGTTACATCTTTACAGTTATAACATTCATTTTTTTAACCTCTATTTTATAACACACACCTACTTTCAATCGAATTCTGCTTGGTATATTCCCTTAAAAATACACACTAAATTCTTAAAAGAAAAAAGTATATATGTATAGATATCTGTGTATATATGTATAACAATAGTAAATGGAATAATTATTCTATCCCAGTACAGCTCTGCCATTAATATTAATAACAATCTTTTACATTTCTATTTCTTTTAACAAACATTACCTAGTAATATCAGTTGTCTTTCACTTTAATCATCTATATTTCATATTTTACTTATTACTGTCTTTAAATAAAAAATAAAACAACAGCTATTAACAGTAGTCAATAAAATTATTATTCTTATTCAAATTCATCTTGTCAACTAATAAAAATCTTCCATGTTTCTTTTCAGTTTTTTTTTAACTTTGCATTTCTACAGAAGAAGGTGCGGTAACTGGAGGATAGGAGTTCAGCTAACATTCCCTGCATAATATAAGTGGATAATCACTTCCTCTATTCAGCTTCCATAGTTGAAGGTTAGTTAGTTAGGTATTAAATTGATATGTCTCTCAAGTGACTCTTTTTCCGAGTCAGTAATCATGAAGTCAAGTCTTTTTTTCCTATTCTGATCCTTCAAGATTCACCTTCATTATTTAAAGATTGGAGAATCTTCCCTATCAACAGATTGAATTTTATGACCATAGTAATAACCATTTCTTCTTCATCAGATTTAATAAATATTTTTCAGTTTGTCTTGCCCTAATCAAAGACATTTATCAGGCTGATGTTTAAATTCCTAGTCTCCCATCTATTGTGTGCTATAGAAAGTGATCCCTTCAAGTCTTCAGTCTTCAATAGATAGCTCTTTTCTACTGGCAACCACTGAACCACATTATTAAACTATTTGATGATTAATTTTTCCTGGATCCTGATATAGATGTACAAAGATGAAAGAAAGTTTTAGACAGTATACTAAATTAAAATATTTCAAATTAAGGAAGAAAAAGATACAGACAGAACATTCTGCAAATTTCTCCTTTTTAAAACTGCTTTATTAAATTAAAATAATAAAATACAAAATAACAGAAAAGGAAAAAATATAAGGCACAAGGATCAAAAAGAGAAAAAAGTTTAGAAGCTATAAGAAAAAAAAATGACAAAGGATTTTTCTTATTTCTTCTGTAGAAATGCAAATATATAATAAAATATTTAAATAACCTCTTACTCTAAGTTTAAAAAACACAAAAGCATTATATAAAAAGTATACAAATTAAGTAATTAATACATAATAAAATAACCTTAAATTTAAACCTAAACCTATACATACACACATACATACATACATACATACATACATACGTACACATAACACACACACAATTAACAATAAAATAAGCATTGGCAATACTTTTGTAATTATAACAGACTTAAGCATCAAATTCTAAAATCAAAATTTCATTTTTATCTTTCTCAAGCAAGAAGTCCCTTTTTAAAAAAAATTTGCTTATTCACTATCCTTAAAAGTAAAACTTCTGGTTTCATCTATATATCCATTTTTAGTATCATCCGAACCTAACAACAAATCTGGTCCCAATAACTGTTGGCATTCTTAGATGTTTGCTAAAGATAGTAAAAAGTACTTTCACACTGTTTGTTTTTCCAACACTTATTTGATATTCCCTTATATTTGATTCCCGTATATCTTTTCCCATTGATTAGCATACTATTGTATTTTGTCCATTTAATCATACAGTCTTTAATACATATATACCTCAAAATAAGATGTTCATCTTTAGTATATGGATCCCTTTCAAAGTCTGTTTTTTCATCTACAAAAACAAAATTATTTTTTATCCCATTTAAATCACTCTGCAAAATTTCTTCTAGGACATTTCTCTTACAGAATGAGTGGTAATAACTTATACCATTAGTTGATTAGTATCACAGGACTAGAAGGAAGTATTCTATAGAAGGCCAGATAACATCTGTTTTTATATACCCTTCTTCAATCTGTTTTCAAATTAATCTGTCCCACTAAGTGGGAACAAGGAGTACCAAGTTAAAACATTCCATATATCTGGACTGAGGGAGATGAAAATACACAAAACTCACAGTAGCTGATATTTGCAATAAAAAGCAGGCAGGCAGACATGTAGTACAGGCACAATTCATTAACTCACACAGATGAATTTATATAGACCATGCAGTTGTATTCTATACCTTATATTGTATTGAAGGGGTGTGATGCTAGCTCGCCTCCTCGTGGTGCACCCTGGATAACACAGTAGTGTGAACCAAATGACCAGCAACAATTGGCAGCCAGACTACATTGGAGAATTGGCAGTTAATGACAGTTGGCAGTCAGACATCTTTCTAGAACTCCTGGCTCTCTAAATATATGGCAACAGATCAATGGTCTCTGAATGCCCGTCTTGTCTCTGCCCCTCAGTGTTACTGTGATGTTCCTCAACAGGATATCCATCGCATTGTGTCTGAGTGTCAAAAGCTTGCACCGGCCAATGTCTGATTTTTTTCAACATGGACCACCCTATACTTGGATGGCTGGGTGGACACTGAACATAGACATTTGAACCACTGTAAGTCAATGTATTTGCCATACACTAAATTTTTTAAAAAAGAGTTGAAATAACATTGCACATAGGACTAGTTCTATCATTAATCATTAGTTTGAAGACATCACTCAAGACAGCATATTTGATATGACAAGTAAGAGCAGCAATTACTTGTTACATTGCTATAGGTTTTGTGGAATATTCTGTCCCAGGTATCAAAGTTGATTTGACTATTTTTAGTTATTAAGCATAGTGATGCTTTGTGAGGATGTATTTACTGTTCCATCTCGGCAGCCAAGTTTTCTACTGGATCTTGTGGATGTGTTACTTCCATAATGAATCTAATCAATGATCCATCTCTAACCTTAGATGCCTCCAGGTGTGACTATCAATGAGAATTCTGGCAGATGACTTCCACACATCTGGAGGAGCCCAGTTTCTCCAAAACATGGCTCACAAAAGCAGGAAGATATTAGTATGTGGCTTTCTTAACGCTGCCCAAACACCTGAAAATGAAAAAAAATATTAAAATTATGTCCAGTTTTTTTTACTTTGTCCAATATGGTTAAGAAGACTTAAACTGAGTAACAAAGATCCTTACCTAAGTCATAAAGTTTCACTCACAATGGAATATAGATTTGTCTCCAAGTATTAGCCCAAATTGAGATTCCTTCTGTAACATGAAGGTCTACTGTTTTATTATTTTTTCTACTACAAAATTCCTTGAAAGAAACCTAGTCATGACTTGCCACTTAAACGCAGCCCAAACATCACATTGCAGAATTAAGGCAGGCTCATGTTACGATGACCTCACATTCCACTAAGGTAACAACATTGCCATGGGGTGACTGAAATACATTAACTGTAAAAACAGAATGTCTAAACTATACAATCAAGCAAAGTAAATTATCAACCAGTCTGTAAATTGTAAAGGGAGGTCTTTTTGTTTGTACATGTGTAAGGTATGTTTGTAATTGTCTGAAGCTCGCTCCTTCACTTTCTAGTGTCAGCACAGCCAGAAGTCAGATGACAGTTCCAACTTGATCAGCTTCCTTTGGATTTTCTCTCTCCCTCTTTATCTCAACTGTAAACTCATTCCAAATCAGTGAAACACTGGGATTACCTTGAAACAATTGAATATGACTATTAGAAATAAAGGAAGTTATAGACCAGGAGTGTGAAACACAAGGCCTGTGGTCCATTTCTGACCTGTAGAGTACTTACATCTGCCTCACGGGGCTGACCTGGAAACAACAAAGGACTTCTTCACGGTGCTTCTGCCGCGAAAACACAGCTTAAGAGGGCCACAGGCGCTGGCAGAGTGCTCAGGCCACCACAGGCACTCCCAACACGAGTGACGTTGAGTTGGCCATGCCCATCCTAGCCCCCTGAGGCCAAACACAACCCTGATGGGGCCCTAAATGAAATCCAGTTTGATACCCCTATATATTAAACTATTAGAAATACACCATATGAAATCAAGGGCATATTTATGGTAGAATGCAAGCCTGTTCTTTCAAGATTTGCCCAACAGGAAGTGGGTTGACCTAGAAGTAATGTGGACTGAGGTCTGATTTGATCTTCAATATATGAGTCAGTTGCTAGTTTTACTAGGTAAAAGGGCAATGGTTAAATGAATCTGGAGTACAATTGATTCTCAGGGTATTTTTATTTCTTTAAAAAAGTGTGATTTCCCCCCCCCCCAAAAAAAAATTCCATTCTTTCCTCCTCTTATCTTCACATAGCAGTCATTCTTTCGCACATAAACATGTTCATGAAAAACACGCCCCATCCCCCATTCTAGCCCAAAAGAAGGAAGATGGAGCAGTAGAAGAGTTTGGGTAGCTCCACTGGGAAGGGAAAAGAAAATGGGAAAGTAATTGAAAAATAAACATACGTCTAATATAAATGGAACCAGGAAGCAAATTTTTTTTTATTTGTTTGTTTTGTTTAAAGAATTTGTAAGATTGCCACATTCACAACTATTTCATTCAGAAAATTCTATTTAGAATGAAATGTGTATCCTCACATAATGCACAGTACTTGAAAGGATGGACATCAGACTTTTCTCTGCTGGAAATACAAAAAAACATTGAAAGGTCATTGACATATGATGTGGTCATATGAACTTTTAATGAACATAAATTGATTTATGAAGAAATCCTTCAGTGTTAAAGATGTTAATGTGAGGTTGAATTTGCGCATACCAGACTTCTGTCATCTGACTGTCTATGAAGAATTTTGGTTGTCCTAGGCATGAGATAGCCCAAAGAATTATATTGACAAATTGGAAAAGTAAAATTGTTGAGAAATTAAGGATTGGCTTCTGTAAATCTGTCTATCCACTCAAAAAAGGCAACATTTCTTACTAAGCAAAGGATGCATCAATATCTACTTTTTCAATAATATTTTATGATATTTTACAACAAGGGACCCCACCCTAAGTCTATGGACTGGCAACTGGGCTGCACAAACAAGTGAAGCTCCATTTGTGGGAAGCAAGCAGCATGCAAAACCACACATCACTCCGGTTTGTGGAAAATCTTTGCTCCATGTTGGAGGCCTCTCTTTTATAATAATACAGCAGTTTCATTCGATTTCTTTTCTTTTTATTTGATTGCAATATAATACTACAGTCATTCCTTGGTACTCATCTTCTCTGAAACTCATTGAATTTGGTAGTCAACTCATTTTAACAAGAAAATTTTGTCCTAGTATTATTCATCATTCGTTTAGTACTTGATGTGCAAGTTAGAACTTATCAGTGTCAGTTGCCTCATGACTTTGCTACCCTTTCCAAACAAAAGAAAGAGTCACACATTAGTAATGTGGTAGCTCTTTCCCTGTGCACATTCCCTTGCAGTCTTGGCTTAGTTTCTGTGGTGATTTTGTTATTTTTGTGCTTTTTTTCTCATCGGTACAGGCAAAGTTTTTATTTTATTTACTCTAAGTATTTATTAATTTTTAGGTTCCTTTCTCATTATAAAGTAATGATATACAACCATATCTTTTTACATATTGCCCTAAAATTTTTGCATGGTCTTTGGTTTAGGAACATATTGAATTTATTTAAATTATTTCTTATGGAAAAAATGTGTTTGATACTCACTGTTTTTTATATTTGTCATGCCTCCCAGAAACGATTAACAATGAGTACCAAGGTACCAATATATATGTTATATTTTTTATAAATCGGTAACTATCTATAAGCTTATATTTTATGTTAAATCTTTAGCTTTAACCCTAATCATTTAGTATTGTAAATTATTAAAATTGGTTAATGTTTTAAAGGGGCTAGGGAAGAAAGCGTCTTGTTTTGTTTTCTGTTATTATTCTACATTTTGGTGCTGTATTTATAGTTTGGAATTTTATACAAATAAAGAATAAAGTTTGGAGAAAAAAAGTGAAAAATATAACAAATCATTATAAAGCACATACCTGAGGCTGAATATAATAAAGACTCACTTTAACAGCTTATCAGGATCCTCTAATATCTTATTTACTTTTATTTTATGTATTTATTTTGTCAAAAACTTACAATAGAAAAAAGAATAACCATAAGTTTAAATATAAGAAATAGGAACTAATAATTGGGGACAATAGACAGAGACACAATTGTGCACTTATGCACGCCCCTTACAGACCTCTTAGGAATGGGGTAAGGTCAATAGAGGGTAATTTGAGGGTAAAGGAATGGGGGTTAGAGGACGTAACAACAGAGTCAGGTAGTGCATTCCAGGCATTGACCACTCTGTTGCTGAAGTCGTACTTTCTGCAATCAAGTTTGGAGCGGTTTACATTAAGTTTATATCTGTTGTGTGCTCTTGTGTTGTTGTGGTTAAAGCTGAAATATTCATTAACTGGTAAGACATTGTACCATATGATTTTATGTACTATGCTTAAGTCCAATCTTAGCCGGCATAGTTCAAGGTTGTCTAAGCCTAGAATCTCAAGTCTGGTGGTCTAGGGTATTCTGTTGCAAACAGAGGAATGTAGTACTCTTCTGGTAAAATACTTCTGGACTCGCTCAGTTGTATTTATGTCTGATATACAGTGCGGATTCCAGACAGCAGAGCTGAATTCAAGTATTGGTCTAGCAAAGGTTTGAATCTTGGTCCAATGTGCAGAAGGTCCTCACAGTTCTATTAATTTTGACCATCTCTATACAATAAGATCACTGATAGAGATAATCCAGATAGATTGGTTATGACAGCAATGAGCCAAAAAGCTTGACTTGGACCCAAAGCAATTTGAGCGGAGGAGGAAATGGCACAGAAAGCACCTTCTTGGTTCAGAGAAATAGAGGAAGGGGCCAAATAGATTTAAAACATTTATGTCACTCCTGCTATGGATACCAGGCCAATAAAGTAACTCCAAAACAGGGTTAATGCTATTATATATCATCTCTTGTAACAGAAACTTTTACTTATTCAACACCTAGTGGATGGATATGGAGTAGGAATATTATATACATACCATATATGTATATAATATTCCTACTCCATATCCATCCACTAGGTGTTGAATAAGTAAAAGCACAATTGCAAGCTTCTGTTACTAGAGATGATATATAATAATTCTAATTGATAGAATTGGTTCCTACTCCTGCTTATATGCTTACTTTTTGAATCTTCGGTTATAGGAATTAAGGTTAACTTTCTAGGATACAACCCAGAAGCATCAGAAAAGTCAAATTAGTCAAAGCTCTTCTATAACAAAATTAGTCTACCATACACTGATTACAATGGTGGGATTATTATTTTTTTTTACTACCGGTTCTGTGCGCGTGGCTTGGTGGGCATGGCAAGGGAAGAATACCGTAAAATCTCCAGGCAGAGGTAGTATTTGCCGGTTCTCCGACCTACTAAAAATTTCCACTACTGATTCTGCAGAACTGGTCAGAACCTGCTAAATATACCTCTGTTTAGCAGACCTGAATAGTAACTGTCACTGGAGCTAATGGGGAGAGAGGCCCAATGGTAAAATACAACCTCAACCTATTGATAACATTATCCTTTCAGTTTACTTGAATCCAGATACACTACATTCTTTCATGAAGTATTACTTGTTAAAGAACACATTAAATTTCTAGAACAGAAATTTAAGAGGCCGGAAAAACAAAGGAACTCCTAATAATCACAATATCTCCTTCAATAAATTAAGTTGTGTGCATCAGCTGGATGTGAATCACCCATGTAAGTGATTATATGTCTTTAAAGTGTCATTTTCTACCAAGTGTTTACAATAACAGAAGTGGCAAGTTACTTAAAACTAATAAAAGGAAACCATAAAACATCATTTAAAATGGCTCAGCTCCTGGCCAATATTCTTGAAGGCATTTTCTAATTAATATGTTTAATTTTGCATGCAATTTAGGGCTATTTTAACTCTACACAGAATGACTCCTATGGTTGTAAAACACACAAAAACGTGGACTGTAGCTTGCAATATGCAGTAATAACATATAAGGCTGTCTTGATTTTCTAGAACAATCTTCTTTAACACCTACTTCCTTCAGGAGCCAACATATGGTTTCACAGTTTTCCTAGAACTATCTGAAAAGGCCTTTTATAGCACAGTGTCTACAGGGACTGCTGCTGGATCCATCTGGTGTAGGAGCTCATTGTGCTGGTTCTTGTACAGAAAAGAGAACTTTGTCCTGAAATGCTGTAGCTGCTCTGGTTTTATAAACAGATTCACAATAAGCCATCTCATGCATCCTCATCACCAGCAACTCTTAGGGTAACCATACAAATAACGCCTGGAAGCTTGCATTTAGCAATACAAAGACACTGTGCCAGTGGGTTGTTATGGAATTAGCCTCTAGATCTTTCAAGCAAAACTTTCAACATTTAAGGAAGTAATTCCTGTATAACAATTCTACTGGATATCTGGGCTTAAATAAACTAAGGACACAAATATCTCTCTAGTACAGAGCTAGTCAAACTCGCGGCGTCACATGACGTTTCGGGACTTTTTTTTCCCCTTCACTAAACTGGGCGAGGGTGGGGCCAGCATGTGACACATCCGCCCTGCAGTCTGTAATTTGACACCCCTGCTCTAGTACTATGTGAGGTACCTAAAGTAGCTAAGACTGTACAGTAGAATACAAATAGTCATTCTTACAACTACAGTTGGGACCATAATTTCTGATGTAAATCATTGCAGACTTAAGTCAGCTCAGGCACAATTTTATGATAGCTTTTAGGACCGTCATTGGGGGAATCACATGCTTGTTGAGCAGATCAGGCTTCCCCCGATGGGAAGAAATTGGCAAAATAAAAGGTCACAAATTACAATCACTTAACTGGAGGAGGCTACAACTGTCATAAATATGAGCCCCTTGCCAAGTGCCTGAATTGAGATCATGTGACCATGTAGGTGGTATGATTGTCATAAGTGTAAGTATGGGTCCTAAGTTGGTTTTTTCAAGGCCATTGTAACTTGGAACCCTTGTTAAATGAACAGTTGTAAGTCAAGAACTACCTGTGGATGAGGGTACCAAATTCTTAAAAATTTAGAAATGGTCAATGCAACATTTCTTTCTAGGACCAAGTTACCTGCCTGGATTGACAAATGCTTATTTAACATCATTTTTGTCCTCAAAGGAAGGCCTTCTGTTATTGCGCTTATGGATAAGCATACATCTCAGTCTGAAGAAAATTGCAGTTGATGCATCCACTAATGCTTTTTCCCTCAATTCAGGCCATTAAACACCTACTGAAGCATACAGAACCATGTGCTTGGAGAAGCCAGAGTTGAAACCTGTCCTTGTATTTCAGTGTCAGGTTTCAGCCCAGGACATTGTAATTTCCGATTTGGCTGGAGCTCTGTGATTAATTGACACCCCAAAATTACCAGCATCTGACACCTGCTTATTTGAGGCCCATATAAAATAAACAATTCACTTCAAGGTTACTCTTCATCGACAGGGAGTGAGTGCCTGTGATACAAATGTCTAACATACATTAGTTTGCTATACCTGGGAACAGGGTCAGCTTTTTTTGCAGCAAAGACACTATGATACAGAAGGAAGAGAATAGGAACTTTAGGTGAGAGGTTAAAAACCCAAACATGTTGCAGGAATCGGTGGATTTCTCTATTATCAATCTCAGAACATTTAACAAAAGAAGTGCAGAGGGTGCTTTATACTCAGGGTTTTCAGGTCTCGTGTTTAAAGTATCAAAATATTCAAGGCCTCATTGTTTTCATTTGACAGAACCAACAGCCTGTTTTCTCATCGGAATAACTATCTTATTTGAATAGAACCCAGCACCCTATGATTTGAGATAAACATCTCTCTTTTGTTAAGAAATGTTCTGCCAGAATCCAGTAGCATGTCTGAACTAGGTAACAGGTTGGGTGGGTAGTTATTCTTTTTTCTTTCTATATTGTGTTTTTATTGTTTATAAGCCACCTAGAGCAGGGGTGTCAAACTCATGTCATCACGGCAGCATCACATGACATATCGGGACTTTTTTCCCCCCGTCACTAAACTGGGCGTGGCCAGCACGCGACGCATTTAGCCCGTGGGCTGGGAATTTGACAACCCTGACCTAGAATCACTGTAAATGGGTAGGCGGCTATACAAATTTTCTAAATAAATAATATATTAATTAGATATTAAGGAATTCCTGAATAACATATGCTGGGGAGAAGATCACTGATTAAATACCTCCTATTACTGTCTAAAGGGGAAAAGATTTCTTAACAAGTGAAAGAATAAGAATAAGGAATAAGAAGAAGAACTGGCTGTATTATGCCACTGATATTCTATTTAATCAGAATGAATTTTGCTATGCTGACATTTCAGCTACTTTCTTCATATTGGATTGTAACTAAATCCTTTAACCATTAGATATTCCCAGGTAAAATCAAAAAATGGTGCTAGTTATCTCTGTTCTATATTGTTGCTACCAATTTACGGGAGGATGTTCTGAAACCTTGATTCTATCAAAGAAATTGAGAACATTCTATTATTATTAATTGTATTAGTGGAAGGAATCTATGAAAAAAATGCCTTCCAATAAATCTCAGTTGTTCTCAACAATGCAAAGTACATTAAATATTAACATCCAGTGTTTTTCCTGTTGGCTATACAAAATTAATATTGATGGGGATGGGGAATATTGCATGAGGAACAGTGAATCAGGATAAGGTTAATTCTTTTCCCCTCAACTATGATCTCTATGAAAACCTTCCATTTCCTAATATGACAGTGAATCTTGGAAAAATTACAATCTAATGTGGTTAGTTGGCTATAGCATCACATGCTACAGTTTCTATTCCATCTTCTGTTCCCATTTCAAATTGGGGTGCTAGTGCTAATGCTTCATAGCATACCACTTATACCAGATTTTAAATCTGGTAAAATAAGAAGAATAAAACTACTTGGTAACTTAGATTTTTTTTTTAAAAAAAGTGCCTGAAACAATACACAGCAGTTCCTTTTAAAGAAAACTATGTGCGTAGGTGGAATATTGAATTTTGAAATCACTTCTGAAAGGCCTGCAATATAGTCTTTTCCTTGCTAATTGGTACCAGTGCTTTTAATGGGATGTATTACATGCAGCAATGAAAGCCAATGTAGAATAGTGATTAAAGTGCTGGACTAGAAGCAGGGAAACCAACTTTGAGTCTTCCCTTAGGCACAAGTCATCTGGTGACCTTGGGCCAGTTATTCCCTCTTAATGGTAATCAGAGTTTGGCACTGTGACAACCAGGTAAAAAGTACAAGTCCTTATAGCATCATGCCTTGATGGCTTTACTTTAAAAATTCAATTAATTAAAAAGTAAATGGGCCCTGCAACGAAGTGGGCAAATACTAAGAGGACAAACTTCTTGGTAGTTATTACTTAAGACCAACTGGAACACCGACACAACTTATGAAAGAACTATATTACTTCTGATATGAGGTCCAAAGCATGGCATGCTGTAAAATTTAAAACATAATAAAATATTGATGGTTCAAGTCGGATGATCCAAGATAATGCTAAGTGTATTATAGCAAAGGTTTTTTTTACAAAAATAAACAGTGATATTTGCTTGTGTGCTCTTTAGAACTCAACATTTTTACATTGATATACATTCAAACAATTTAGAATTTATTTTGTTAACAACTTTTTGCCAGGTACGTTGCATAATGTTTCTGAAACTGGATGGTGGGGAGAGGGAAATTGGAGTGTCTCAATCTATTTTTTTTCCAAAGCCTTTTTATGATTCAGCACTATCTCCCAGTACACAAATCTACTTCACATAGATCTTACTTCCAAGAGGTTTCTTCCTTTGCAATCCACTATATTAAATTGACTCCAAAGTATATCTATTATTTTATTGGTCTATTAATCGATCTGTATTTGTTAAGTGACGAACAACTGAAAAACCTATTGCATAGTAGCAACATTCAATGCTATGATCGTCTTACTAAGAGGTTGCCCCACAGCTCATTTCTTATGAAGCACTTCCCCTAGAGTTAGTTAAGAAGACAACTCTCTTCTAGTAATGCTCTTATTTTGGGCAACAAAGATGAAAATAATTGGTACAGTTAGAGTTAAACTGGCCTTCTGCTGGTTCTTCATTAATTGCTAAGATTACATTGTGCTATCTCAAAATAGATTGTTATTCTCTTGCTAGCCCCTACAATGCACAGCTTACTCTGCATTGTGGGGGCTATGATGCAGTATTATGTCACTAGAAAAATCTTCCCATTCATGAGACAAAGCTATCTTTGAGACAAAATATTATACTGTTCTGCAAAGGTAACAGTCTACCAAAACCACAGTATTTTATTTTATCTTTTATTTTCGAGGAACCTGATGCCTGGAAACCCTAAGTTATTGCAAGGGGCAAAACAGGATTAGAAAGAATCCTGGCAAAATGTAGACACCATTTCTTCTGATGCGTTTAGGTTGCAGATACTTCCATCTTTATTATGGAGGGGCTAAGAGTATCTGTGAAGTTCTTCCAGATTCGTGGCTCCTGATTTTTTTTAAAAAAAGCCGATGAAGGCTGTGGCCAGGTGAGGTTTGACCTTTTATGGATCAAGAGGCCCTAAAAATGGCTTGGACCATTTGGACCAATCTACTCTAAAAAGCATAGGCTTGAAATCCTTTTGTTTGAAATCAAAGGAAAGGGAGACTTGTCAATGCAGATCCAACTTAGAATAGTCACTTCCTTGTTTTCTTTTTGAACATTATCCTTTTTCACCAGGCTACCAGGTTGGAAGAAACAACTTAATTGGAAGCAGCCAAATATGTGAGGAAGAATTTAGGGGTCACATAATGGATTTATTTATTGATTTTCACATGTGAGTTTTGTGGCTGTTTATGTTTTATGTCTGTGGGCTCCATCTTATTTCAGCTGCTTAGAATCTTAAATAAAGTATAAGTAAATACGTGATTATTATATAAACATACATATTTACTCTCACCCATCTATGAACTCAAATAATTTACCCTGCAACTTTATTTTGAACTAAACTTCTTTTTAGTTAAGTGTTGCAACTAAAGAAAAGGATCACCTCCATTGCACATGCTTACTGCACAGTCAAGGAAGGCTTTGTTGGAATGTATGAGAGTTGTTAGCAGGAACATTGAAGAGGTGTTATACTTTTTAAGACAATGGGACAGAATAGAATACTTAGTGAGGGTGCAACGTGAAAGGCTTCTGCAAATGCCCTGTGTGTGGGATGACTGAGAACACTGAACAATGTGATAGAAAACTACTCTGCTGCTAGTTTCTTCTCCTACAGAATAATTACCACCGTGCAACCTTCCAGTGGCATTCGTTGGCACACTTGGAAGTAGCTCGCAGGGGAGTGAGCATTGTAGCTTTTGAGAACTTACTTCAATCTAACAGCTAAAATGTGTACTGCACTGGGTCAATTTTTTAAGTCTACATTGGGTACATGCAATATCAGGTACTATAAATTACGCTGCAGTGAACACATCAGGTAAAAATTGACATTTTTATCAGTATCATGATTCCCATAATTCCATGAGAAAAAATAAGGAAATACCCAGATAAATATTTCCTGATAACTTACCCTTCTGAACCTTAAAATATCTGATGGTGAGTAAGATTGATGTTATATTGTTAATTGGAATGTGAATTTATAGATATGAAGATACTAGGCGGGCTTGCTACGTCTTTGATATGGTATGCTAAAACACATATTTTAGGTTTATCTTAGAGCAGGGATCCCCAACTTGGCAACTTTAAGACTTGTGGACTTGACTGGAGAATTCTGGGAGTTTGAAGTCCAAAAGTTGCCAAGATTGGGGACCCCTGTCTTAGTCACAAATGCAGAAACTAATGATTTTCAGAAAACAGCTATGGTTCAATTTTATTGGCCTCTTGATCATTTGTACCTTTTCAAATGAAAATATTTGTAATCAATTTTTTTCCATTTTTGTTAGCAAAAAGGGTTGGGGAACAGGATGAGTTCTTTCTTTGGAGTTTCACATCTGTAATCAAAATTAATGGGCTATTTCATTTTTTGGCAAGATATTACAGGATGTTTGTCTATCAAAAGATATTTCAGGGCTGAATAATTTTAATCCTCTCATGTATACTAGTAGTGAAGTACACAACAGATGTTTTCTGCAATTTGTATACATTCACTCCACAATTCAGAGCATCTGCCTGTACAGTAGTATCCAGTATTTCTACTCTCTTCTATCAAATTATTTCAGATCCGTCTCCCATTTTTCAATAAAATGCAAATATGTTGGTTACAGGACATTACATGGTACATTAGAATAACTTTAAATGTTTTTGCAAAAATTTTAGAATGAAACCATAAAAATCATAAACAGATATTATCTACATTTGTGTTATAGATAATCCTTGTTTTGTGACCTTTACAATGAACCCTCCTCCCAAAGCTACTTGTTCTAGTCTTCCAACAGCCATACACACATTTGGCTGTTTGCAATGTCCAGTTGTGTGATGATTTTTGGTGGCTTTAACAGTTTCCGACATTTTACTTCCAGCATCTGGCAAAAAACGCTCATTGAAGAAATCAGGTTCACTTAATGAATGTGGTGCTCACTTAATAACTACTGCAAAAAGAGCCATCAACCCACTTAGCAACTACCATTAAGTACAACTATAATTCCAAGCTTAATTACAGATGTAAATCAAGGACTACCTGTATTCTGAATATAATTACCTGGATAATTAAAGTCTACTGCTGTGTTAAGTTGGTATTTTTTTCTCATTTCCCTTTTCATTTTGTTGGATTCTTGGTAGATCTTCACTTTTAGTAGGCCTGAGCCCATAGAATTAGTTTTGCAATGTCAGGGCCAAGAGTATATAAATATAATAAATAAATGCACCCAAACATGTCTTTCCTTTAATTTGACCAAGGAAGAAACTAGCTGGAATCCAATGTTGTACTAAGCCATAAGTATGTGAACCCAGGCAAACTGGGTTGCACAGAATCAAAGGGTCCCATGAGAATTTACTGGGGTTCCATATGAAAGTTCATTCCAATGCAACCAATTTTCCATCACTAGAAATTTGCCTCTTGATCATAGGTTCTAGGATGTGTGTGAACTTAGTTATGATTAATTCAGGGAAACTGTTAAATGCTGTTGTGGATCACATGTGAACTTGGTCACTGTTTCTATAAAGATCAATGTCCGAGCGAATGTTCTTAAATAAGCAAGTGTAGCTTAGAATACTCCGGATGTGTAGGATACAACATACGCTTTCCAAACAGAATTTAATTATCTTTCTTTGGAAATGAATCAGCTATCATTGTTATGGTTGGTTGCAAAGTCAACCAAATGTTTAGATTGGGTTTGATGTTTTTATCCACCTATCAAGTCCCTCCCAAGGACCTGGGAGACGTTCTTGTTTGGTAGTATTAAAAGTACTATTTCAGGATGTAAGCTGTCCAGTAAAGCTGCCTTTTACATTGATTCTGTCAAGTGCCAATGTGGTTCAAATGATGCTCCAGATGTATTAGGATTGTATCCACTGCATTTGTCCCAAAGGCAAACTGGACTTTCTGGTTTTTCCTTGAAGACGTTTCTCTTCTCATCCAAGAAGCTTCTTCAGCACTATAGAATTTTGAAGGCTGTAATAATCATCCTGTAATAATCAACCTGTAATAATCCTGACCACTTTATGAGCAATGCAAAATACATTCTTTTATCCTTTGTCAGTAATGCAGGTTCAACATGGTTGAAGTTTTGACATTGTCCTACCAATGTTTCCTTGCAAAATGAGCTATCTTCAAATGAAGGGTTTTTTTTTTTATTTCCCAAGCAGAACAGGCCAGACAATTAAAACCATTACTACAGATACAAGCAAGTACATGAAGATGCCTCCAATCCAGGAATTCCACAAAGCCAAGGATGAGACTGAACAACACAACAATCTCCTCTCTTCTCACTAATCCTATATATAATCCTATATATTTACGTATTTTCAGGCGGCACAAATGTTTTAGTGGACGAGGATTCTCTGAAAGACACAAAGGAAAGAAATGGAATGGAAAATATGTCTGATTAATTTAGCACTAAAGAATCATACAGTAGGCAGGAAGCTTAAAAGATAATTTGATCCAATGCCATACTCAGGGTGGGATACATTAGATCATGATCATCCAGTTAAAAATAAAAATGATGAGCTCCTTCTTTTGTTTCGAACTTTGGAACCTCCATGTCAGCCTTTTCTCAACCTTTTGGCGATTCAAAAGATGCGGAGACTTCAATTCCCCAGCCAACCTGTTGGGGAAGTTGAACACCTTCCATTTGTCAAGCTTGTGAAACGCTGCTCTATTTGGACACCCGCGGACCCGAGTTCCCACATTTTTTTTTCTTTTTTGTAAATTTTATTGGTTTTTAAAGATAAACATAAACAAAACATCAAACTTTCTTCCATAAGTATACAAGCAGTGTGTCGGTTGGTTTTACAGATTTTTTTGTGCATCCATTTCATAGTCTTCAATTACAGCTAC